ATTCCCGTCCCAGATCCTCCTGCTCCAGAAGACGAGGTGATCCCTTCATTCCTTTGTTTTAGTCATAAACACTTTGAATTAGTTTCTATTATTTATGCATGCTTCCTTGTGGACAGCAGTCACATATTCATGTGTTTCAGCCCTTCATATATGTAGTTTTCTAGTAGTCTAGTTTGTGTCTTTGCAGCAAAATTCAACTTATTCCAGCACTAATCATGAATTACTGAGGTTTGCAAGACAATTAAACCAATAATTGTCGCATGTTTGCTTCTTTAGTAAAAACTGAGTATATTCTGATTCTTGCAGTTATGGTATGAATTAGGATTCTGGTTTGAGTCACTGAAAACACAATTTCAAGCATTTTAGCTAAAGAAAAGAAAGTTGATTCCAACCCATCAACTTCTGTAAATTCATGTCCAAATTAAAATATAAGCGAATGTGGGTCAACATGGAAAGAACTGTTAAATTATGCAAAAAGGGCTAGAAAAATTGCTGACATAAAGAGTTAATAACGGCTTCCTCACTTCTCTATTATTGTATATTTCCCAACTGGTTTGTTTAGTTTCTATTTTTCCTTCTAAGCTTTGTTCATTGCATCATCCTAAAAACATTTAACCTGTAATTTGTATATTTATTCAGTAGAAACTAATAATTAAACGATGAGAAATACTTTATTCCAAAAGAACAGGCGCCTGAATTATTGGCACCCTCTATAATTACGGTGCAATAAATATGTACTAGATTTTATGCATTTCTCTATAAGCTGATCTGTGTTTTATTAGTGATAAATTCCCAAGCAACAGCTGTACAAAAGGACGACCTGGTTTCCCATAAACCCAAAAGTCTGACATTTCTGCCGTTTATCTCCCAGGAAATGGAAACAGACAAGAGCGAGGAGGAAGAGAAGAAGAAGAAGAAAGGTAAAACGTCCTGGAAGATTCTGTATTTCTGTGTAGTAGGAGAAAAATCCCTTCAGCTGTTGTTTCTGTGTCCCTCAGCTCCAAAATGTGGCTACATCAAAGGAAACGAGAAAATCATGTTGCTTCTGGACAAAGTGAAGCCGGAGATCATGGATCTCAGAGAAACCATCCTGGCGGTAAATAAAAAAGATTATCAGTGGTTTGGATTTTACTATAATTACTGTCGATGCTCAGATTTATTTATCTTTTACTTCAGCAAAGAATCAGTTTTATTGCTCAAAATTGTGGGCAAAAACAAGGAATTTAATTTTAGTTTTTTACTTTAGTGTAGCTATAAACATATAAGGTTTAGAATAAATTTTTAAAAAAGCATATCTAGTTGTAACGGCATACAGCCTTTATCTAACTCTTATAACAATTATAGTAGCACAGAATACATAACGCACTTTAGATCCCCTGTTTTATTTGCTTTCTGTTTAATTAATTTAGATTTTACTTTTAATCCATTTTATTGCAATAGTATTTGCTGGGGGTTTTGTGTGCTTTGTTTCATCTTTTTTTGTTTTTTGTTTATTTTTCTAACTACTATTTCAGGTCTACTTCATTGTCTCTATATGGTGTTTATCATTGTTAAAAATCAGAAATAAATCATACTTAGAAGAAAAATAAAGGACGTACATCTGTTGGCAGCAGCAACAATTCTGAACAGTTCATGTCCAGCATACGTGTGGTCTGCATAGATGTTAGCTGACCTTTTCCTGACCCTCACTCTGGATGATGGGAAAGTCGGCTCCCCCTTTGCAAACCTAAATTTTATCTTAGTAAAGTTTAAAAGTATTTCTACCATACTTGAATAAATTAGTAATTAATATCAATAGTTAAAATAAAAAACAACAAAGATTATTAAAATGTTTCCTAAAATGTAAAAAGAAAAGAAATAAAGCCCAAAAATGTATTCTTGGTACAATGCTTTAAAACAATCATACAATATCGATGTTAATTTCAATATATTGTGAATTCCTAGTCGTTTGTCCTCTGATAGATGAATGGATGAAAAACCATTGATGTTTCCATTTGATGCCTGCAGGTTTCCTGCTGGATCCAGCACCTCATTCCCAAAATAGAGGATGGAAATGACTTTGGCGTCGCCATCCAGGTACATAATTTATTCTGCCTTGCGTTGATTTTATGAGGTTTGGCTGTTCCTGCAATCTTAACTTGAAATCTCTAATTGAACCACAGGAGAAGATCTTGGAGAGAATTGCTGCAGTTAAGACCAAAGTTGATGGTTTTCAGACCAACATCAACAAGTACGATGAGGATAAGGTTTTTCTTTAAAGCATGCCAGTAGGGTATATATTAGTGCTCAGCTGTGGTTGTTTCTGTTTGAACAGATACTTTTCAGAGAGGGGTGACGCCATTGCTAAAGCCTCCAAAGATACTCATGTGGTACGAAACTGTTTAATTTGGATAAACACATGGGAATTTATGTAAAATGGTTTCGTCTTTGTGCTAAAACATTAGCTTCTTTCTGCCGTCAGATGGACTACCGCTCACTTGTTCATGAGAAGGATGAAGCAATCTTCTCTGAGATCAGAGTGATCGTGCTGGACATCCGTGGATTTTACGTAAGTAAATAGAAAATACTTATTGGAATATAAGGAAACTCATATTTAAGCTGTAATGTTATAGTTTCTTTGCTTAGTTGTGAAACACACTTAAGAAACTAAGCATCTAAATGTCCTAATGATTGTTTCAAGCATCCAGCATGCCGATGTGAGTGAGTCCTTTTCAGCGCAGAAGGGATTAAATAGCTTGAGATTAAATGTTGTTGTTGCATCATTCCTTTGACACTTGGGCGCAGTTATAAAGCAGCAATACCCACATGCTGCATTCCATTTACATTGGAAATCGTAACTGGGAAGTCGGAGGAACGCAATTTCTCACTTTTCTGCGTTCCAGTTATGTTTCCAACTCCTCCCTTCTACTGATAGCCAACACTATTATGGCAATAAATAAAACGTGTGGGTGTTCAAGTTATTTTTTTTTTCTTCCAACTTGGAAGTCTGACGTTCCAAGTTTTGACTCTTAATGGAACGCAGCGTTAGAGCTGCAGCTATGATATGGCAGAATTTTGCAACCAGTTCAGAAAATCTGTGGCAACCTGACTAAGCTGGTGACCAAATGATGTTAATTTTTTTCTATGTATAAAAAAAAAAACACTTACAGCATGAATCATAATGTCAAAACTTATGTTTTACATATTAAAGGGAATGGATGGAAGTATAAACGTATCAATATAACCTTCCTTATACATTTATTAGATGTATAATCCACATATATGAGAACTACACCTAATTAGTTAACTCATCAATATAGTATTTATTTAATTGTAATTATAGTGGATGAACAATCGCTATAATTAAAGTTAAATAAACATGATGATTTTAATTAAATATGTGTGCTATGTATGTATTACTGGGAAATGTTCCAGTATTATTAATCTATTCTATTTTGGTACTTGAAGCAAATGCAGTTTATCATTTATTGTGAAAAATTCTTATTTAATTGTGGATTTATTTGTGATTTATTGCAGCAACAATAAAAATGTTTAAAAATCCCACTTAGAATATTGTTGCATTGTTACTGTTATATTGACATAAATAAAAATGTTATTATAAATAAGCTATTTTATGCTGTTTAGCAGTAAAGATCGTATTTCTTAAATGCAAACGGTGTCCTCAAGTAGCTGGTTTCATAATGGATTCATATTTTAACAGAAGTGTTTGTGTTTACTTTGCAAAATAATACAAAGGATTTGTTTATACATTTTTCTTACCCTTATTTCTGTCATGATGGCAACAAATCCCACAAAATATGATGATTAAAAAATGTCTGGAAGCTTCATGCTACATCAATAACACAAAATATACCAGACGTGTTACTGAAACCCTCCCAGCCATAACCTGTTCTCCCTGTTTATGCTGCCTGTCAGGAAACTCACCAAAAAAAATTCACAGCAGTTTTTCCTTCACTGCTGATCCTGGTTTACAGAGAAACAGTTTGTTGGGCCTCATATTAAATTACACTAAATTGAATTTCTGATTTTAATATTTTCAAAAAGTGGCTTTTATTTCAAACTTTCTCTGAGTTGCATACTGGCGTAAGGCCAACCTACTAAAATTTTTGTTTAATTATCAGAATAAAGTCGCAATTTTACCAGAATATTATCAGAAAAAAATATTTTAATGAGAAAAAAAAGCAAATTCATCAAAATCTGATGTGAGTGTAGTTGTTTTTTCAAAATATACAGTTGTTTGCACGATTGTCCTAATTTTACAGACTTATTCTGGTAATATTAGGACTTTTTTCACCTAACATTATAACTTTGTGGCAATATTATTAATTTATTCTGGTTATATTATGACTTTACTTTCCTGATATTACAAATTAATTCTGTTAATTCCTTTATTTTTCTAATTTTACAACTTTCTTCAAGTAATGACTTTAACTTTATTACTGTAATATTGACTTAATATTAGTATTCTGTCATGGAGTTGACTTGAATTCAAAGTCCAAATACAGAGACGTAGAACAAGATGGCCGCCCTGGGCATGCTGACATCACTCTGATTTATGGGGAGAGCAATTCCAACTTTCCAAAATTTAAACCTTCAAAATCCAAAAATTCCATTAACTGAAAATAAACGTATCGTCCAGCTTAAATATTCCTCGAAACAGCTTACATCCATTGAAAAGCCTAAAAAGTGAATCATGATTTCTCTCATCCGTTTTCCTCAGGCTGAGCTGTATGACATCATCATCAAGAACCTGGAGAAGGTGACCAATCCAAAGGGAGAGGAGAAGTCGTCGATGTACTGATTGTCAACGAATCAATCCATGCTGTGCGACTGAATCCAGTCCGACCCGAGTTTCCTAATTTTCCCTCTACAGTCCTAAAATAATTACTTGGATGTTGGTTTCATTACTTCATTACTTTGCTGCAACACTTCATTTCTGATCCAACATTTGCACTAAATTGAACTCATCAATAAATAAAGAACTTTTTTTTATTCCAAGCTGTTGGAAATTCTCCTTTATTTGAAACGAAAACAGCCCGACATGATGCATCTTTTATTTACTAAACACAAAATAATAATAAAAAAAAAGACTTAACAAAAAACATTTTCCTTTTACAAAATCAGAGAGTATCAGAAAGTGAGGAGCGAACGCAGGCGGCTGGGCGGTCACACCTCGGGTCCTTCTCCTCCAGGGATGAGCTGCAGAGGGGGAAACATTTCAGGGTGAATCACTCAGAAATGGAACGCAGCTCGACCGAAAGCAAGCAGCGGCCATGTTGGTTACCATGGTGATGTTGTTCCCATTCAGGAGGATCTGATCCAGTTTGGTTATCCTCCTTCCCTCTGGGGTGATCTCACTGCAACGGACCAGAACCGAACCGGATCAGAACCATGAGCAGAACATCCAGAAAAAGTGAAAAATGGATGAATAGGGATCTGGGTGGATGGATGACCATTTTGATGGTTGAATTACGTAATCCATCATCCATTCATGTTTATGTTCATCCATCCATGTTCATGCGTGGATGAATATGGATGGATGATGGATAAATGGATGGATGAATGAATGAATGTTAATAGATGGATGGAAGAATTGATGGATATGAATCTGGGTGGTAGGATGAATGGATAAAGGGATGGATGGATGAATATTGATGGATAAATGGATGGATAGATATCAACAGAGATAGAATGATAATTAAATGGATGAATAAACGGATGGAGAGGTAGACGGATGGATGGATGTGTAAACATAACTTACAATTCAGTGACATCCTCCAGCACCATGTCTGAAAGTCAAGAGTTAAGGAGCAGAACTGTGAGGGTTCCCAGGTAGGGGGCGTGGCTACAGGTGTAGCTGCACAGTCCTGTCATCCAGCCCTCACCTACCAAACACCTGGTGGTTTCAGACCAGAACCCATGTGTGAGTCTCAGAAAGGATACTGACAAAGTCGTCGAAGCCGAGCAGCGTGCCGACGATTTCTTTGTCCGTTTTCATCACTATGTGTATCCGGGAGCCGATACATTTATCCACAAGCTCTGTAAAACCGAGTAAAACACGTTACAACTGTTGTTATGCCATTTACATTTTTATATCAGATTTAAGGAGGAGCAGCAAAAGCGAATGAAGTGGATTAGCAGTGCTAGCTAACACCTAATGGTGTCATCCAGGACCGTGTTACTGTGAAATATCATCTCTGCTACCTAGATATTGAGCTGTTAGCATGTCATTAAAGTTATTTAGCGACAGTCTTCACTAAGAGGCCTCTTCTGATTCGTTGCAGGACTGACTGCTACTGGAGCAACCATTTGGACAGGAACACAGGTGTCTAATTAGTTAAAGCGGCGTTCATCTTGGAAAAGCTCTGCTTCTGTGAATATACTTTTAGAAATAGAATGCAGCTCAAAACCCTTTATTGTCTAATTTAGTCTTATTTTCAAAACGTGTGTTTGATAAATGGTAGCTTTACTCCGTTTCATCAAATCTGACCCTCCAACATTAAGCTTGTCGTGGTTGCGTCACAATAAATTAAAAATAAAAACATCACATTGTTTCTGACCCACATCCGGAGGTTCTCCTACCTGAATCACAAAAATACACAGAAATTAAGATTATTACGAACCGAGTGGGAGCAACTGTGAAGGATTCGTTGCTGGTGTAGCCGCCATCTTGAATCGAAAACAGTCAAAACCAATCGACCGAAGATTTAAATTTTAATCAGGCAAAAGTAATCGGACATGCCAACATCAATTTTATAGTGGCTTATATATCTTTGTCTATCAAATAATAGTGGTTTAACTCAAAAAAGGGAAACAAAACTAGCATAGTTTCTTTTTAAAAACATAGTTTTTTTTAACATATAAAAACATTTTCATTGGGAGATCTTATCTGACTCCACATGATGGCGCTGGTTGAAACGTTGCTGTATGACGACATTTCCAAAGAAAAGGTATCAAAAAGTCAAGATAGTTCTCTGTCGAGTCAGGGAAACAAAATGTAACGTTTTAATCTTCATAGCATTATCGTTTATTTTAGCTCATAGCATCTATTTAGTTGGAGGAGAAAGAGAGCATGTAGAAAAAATACAATGCCTTTATTGAAACAGAATCGAATAGAATGAACTTCATTTGCATTTACAAATACATTGGTGTACAGGTGGTTTGAATTTCTGCATTTTACTCTTTCCAAAAATAAAAATAAAACATAAAAGTAAAAGAAATAAAATTATTATGAACTTATATTTAGCTACAAGACTTCAAATGAAAACAGCCTTAAAGTTTATGAAGATATAGTTACATTAATCAATATATTTTTTAAAACAATTTCAAATAAATGTGTCTTTAAAGCTAAAGCTAACTTCGTGCTAACGAAGCTTTTAGCGGCAAAGCAAAGGCGGAAGTACGCTGCAGGGAACCCTCTCGTTGATTCCCGCTGGGAGTCGAGCCAGCTCAGGTTTGTGGCTGTTGTTGCTTCTTGTGTGTGTGACAGATTCGGGGCTAAAACTCGGCTCTGTTTGCTCTTTACACCGGACTCCTGAGGGAAACCGAACCTGGACTGCCAGAACTGAACACTAACGGTAGAAATGGAGTCTCAGGGCAGAGACGAAATGAAGGGGCCGGTGCTGCACATCGTGGTGGTTGGATTTCACCATAAGAAAGGCTGTCAGGTAGCTACTCAAACCTTATGCTAACTCTGGCTAACTATCTGTCATTTAAAGTCGCGTTCCCACTAAAATTACCCCCGATTTGTGTGGGAATAATACTCTCACTGTGTATAAATAATAATCATGATTTTGGAGTCTTTCATTGGTGTGGAAATGAATAATCAGCTGTTTGCTCTTGGATTCACTTACTTTCTATTTCCAGCTGAAATATTTTTACAGCTCAGTGTTTCCACCTGATCCCACATCCGCTTTGCTTTAATCATTTTAAGATTAATTGATTAATTAGCAAGGTGATCGGCTGCCCAGTCTGGTTTTGTTTCAGTTGCATATTTATCCAAACGGTGAAATACTTCCTGAAAAACAAGATTAGTTCCTTTCTGATTTCATGTCTACTGAAGCACACATATCTGCATGTTTAATTAAAACGGCATTGAAGCAATAACACAATCGTAATGAAATTCTCCTGATGGTTTGCTGCTTTGTTGTGTTTAGACTTGAACTTCCACAGCATAACTGTGAATAAAAACACCTCGTCAATGTTTTAAACAGAGAAAAATGCATAATTTGAGGCAATTTATTCACTGCAGTTAAAAAACAGTAATAAATTGCAGATATTTTGTCACTGGTATATCAGTGTGTGCCTGTAATATTAGCTGATAAATTCCAGGAGTCACAAACTGTTGCATTTCATGCAAATAATGTATTTTGTAGAGTTCCAGGATTACAGGACAAATAAACATTTTATTATTTAATGTTGAGAAAACAATATAAACTGCAAAAAAGCCATATTTCTCACTTCTTTACTGTCATCGTGTTCATTCTCCTTGAGCATTAGCACCTTTTTGACTAAGATCTTTACCAGGTAAAAGTCACTGAAAGACACTGCAACTAATTTTTTATTATGGATTCAAGGAGTTTGAATGTTTAAAACCAGAAATATAATATCCTTATAACTACTGTGTTAATGTTGTTGTACACAGTGTGTTCAAGCCTCTTCCTAAGAACACCTAACTCCCTTTAGTAAGCATCCCATGTGATATTAGGTGCAATTTGGAGGCGAGTGCAGAGTTTTTAAAGTTAGGATCAGAAACGAACTTAATTACCAAATTCACAGTGACAAAGCATGCGTATTTTATAAATGTCCTCTTGCTTTTTAATTGTGTGGGTCAGAAGCTGAAAACTTTGGAAAGCGCTGCTCCAGAGCGCTTTCTGATGGTGGAAGTTACGGTATTTCCTACCTGACTTTCTTTCTTGTGCTGGTGAAGTCTCTGTGGGTCGACCATCATGTTGCATTAGTTGCTGCCAACTTTAGCTGCACAAGTTGCGCAGAGATTTCACATAGGTGGAAATTAAAACAAGGTCAGTAATTTCTGTTTGTATAGTTTATCGTTTTTCTCTTTCTACCAACAACTGGATGACAAAGTCTTCAGTCTGACTCATTGGTCTCAACTAAGACAATTTTCATAATCCATTTTATTTTTTGTTTCTGTTGTTTTCGTTTGTTTGTTTTGGATATTTAAAATCTCTTCCAGTTCCAGAGTTAAATGTCCATTACAATGTAGAGTTTGTGTTCTGAGGCCATTACCATTATATTACTTGAAAAATTGTCAAGACAACAATATTTATCACAATAACGTCTGGGAAAATTTACCAACCAGAAAATTTGTCATCGTGACAAGTCAAGGCGGGGTGCAATTTGGAGATGTGTGCACCATTTTAGATGAGTTTAAGTTGCTTTTATTTACCCATTAAAGTGGAGTCATGTAGCACAACACCTTGCATGGTTCTAAATGGCAGGGATGTGGTTAATTTGATCATATTAACCTTTGTATAGAGAATTAAGAGTATTCTCTTGAATGATTGGTTTGGGAATGAGCTAGAAAAGGTTTGGCTTCTCTGCTTAACATGTTTTCTTAGTAATCAAAAAAGAGCAATCAAAAAGTCAAATATTTCTGAAACTAGACATGACAAAAACCACTTCCTGGATGGTTTTAGCATAAACTGCAACACAGTCAGCCTCTTTAAAAAACATTGAAAAACATTTCAATGACTGAAACATTGTTTTTGTGTTTTTGATCCATATTTTCAGATTAAATTAATTTCTCAGCCCAGATGTTGTGTGTAAAGACATCTTGTGTCCACTGTCTGCTAATCAGTGAAAGTGGACATGCTGAACATGAGGTATCCGTCCTCTAGTTCCCTCCTTTAAAATGCATGACATGGTGTACGGATGGCCATAAACCACGGTTTGCCTCTGTGTTGTCGCCGCGCTCCATCTGCCTGCATCATGTCGCTCTGCAGCCTCAGGAGCAGCTGCTCTCCACCTTGAAAGATTAAAAAAAAAAAAGAGAGAGAGAGATTTTTTTTCTCACGTAAAGTTGAGAGCGAGGACAAACTGCTCTGGGGTTATCTGATCAGGATCAGAGGCCTCCTGCTGAGCATCAGACATTTGGGTTTGTGGCCTTCTCTCTCACTGGGTTTGCAGCTAGTGATTATTTTAGTAATCGATTATTCTGATTAATCGGATAGAGAAAAAAAACAGGCACTTTCTGCATATTTTTAATTTAACCACATAAGCATTTTACGGCATTTTTAAAAAACATTAAAAATATTAATATGCAAATAATTTTGTCACTTTTCTCTTTTTTGCCTAAAATGCAATAACATAGCATTACTTTAGGGAACATTTGATTATTTGTAGCAAAGGATTTATCTGCATGAAAAATACTGTCTACTTCTGATTATTATTTTTTAAATTAATAATTGGACAGCAAAATGTGTTTAAAGGAAAATTTCTTCTACAGAATATGAACCAGGTGAAGCTAACAATGCCACTTGATGAGTTCTGAATATAACAGATTTACAGATAAAAATGGTTTTTCCTTTTAAATGCAAAATTTGGGTATACTTTTACAGTTTTGGCTTAATTACTGCTCTGAATTTGTTGTTTTTTTTCAGCAAATATAAATGCTTAGAGTTGGTATACTCTAGTTAACGATTCATCAACTACTAAATTAGTTGATGATTAATTCATCAATTAATCACAATTAGTTTGATTAATCTATCACATTAATTTATTTGCAATTTATTTAATAAATTTTCTCTGAAATCTTTGCGATAAGTGATAATTTTGTCATTTTGAGACCATTTTCAACCAACATTTTAATAATGGCATTAATGCAAGAATACACAATAAAACAATGTATTTATTAAAAAGACATTTAAAACTGTAACTGGAAGATATTTTAAATAACCAAAATAAATGAACAGAACAACAATATTTAAAAAGGATTATGAAATCTCTGGAACCAAAATGAAAAAAAATGATTAATCATTCTTCTTTAGACGGGAAAAACAGGCAAAAGGAGCAGGAAAGACTTAAGTAAAAAAAAACCTAAATGCATAAACATGCATAACTACTTCGTACTGGGTGTCAAATCTTTGCAGCATTTTTGAAAATGCCAACTTTTTAACAATATTAAAGGAAAGCATTTCTTTACAGATTGTTTTCCAAATGGAAATGACCAGGCTCTTTTTAATTGATTATCATGTGATTAATTGATTTATTGGTTATCGTGTCAGGCTTGCGACGCCTCGGCCTGTTTTTCCTGCAGAACTGAGCCATTGTTTGTGGGTGTGTGCTGCGTTCAGGAGCAACAGGTTTTAATTCAGCACTGCAGCTGCAGAGTGAGAGTTTTCTTTGAGCTCAGTGGAAACCAAACAAGTTTTGTGAAACATGAGACGTTTTAAAGAGGGGAGGTGTAAGCAGCTAAATCATCTCCGTACTTTAGCATACTGGTAGGACTGAAACGATTAATCAATTATTTAAACAGTCGTTAACTAACTTGGTAGTTGATTAATTGTTAAATGAAGTATGCAGACTCCAAAAAAGGGCATTTGCTGAAAAAAACTCAGCCGTAATTAAGCCAAGATTATACAAAAATTATATACATTTTGCATTCAAGGTTTATCTAAATATGTTTGAGCCAAAACTCCCCAGATGGCAGTTTTAGCTTCACCCGGTTCAAATTTACTAAAATAACGTTGTATTATTGCATTTTAGGTAATAGAATATTTGTTTTCTTATTTAATTAATTTATTTATTTGCATCTTTTAATATATTTGGTTAAATGGAAAATCTGTAGAGTGTCGAATGATGATCTTAAAAACCGATTAATCATCAAAATAATCGTTTGTCAGAATAATCTTAAGTAATCAGCAGAGAGCGAAGCAGTTGTTACTGCCCATCAATCTGGGGAGGGTTAAGAGGTCAGAAAGATGATATCTATATCTGCTCTCATACAAACCGATATCATCCGGCTGGATTCACCAAAACAATCCAACAAATGAAGAAATGAAAACTTTCTTCTTGAATGACTGGAAGTAAACGAGCTTTTGCTTCCTGTGTGTCCCCAGGTTGAGTTCTCGTACCCGCCGCTGATGCCAAACGAGGGTCACGACAGCAGCCTGCTGCCGGAGGAGTGGAAGTACCTCCCTTTCCTGGCTCTGCCCGATGGAGCCCACAACTACCAGGAAGGTACGGCGCCGCCGGATCCACAGAGATCTCACACAGGCAGTGAAAAAGCATTTAAATATTGGCATTCTGAATCATTCTCAGTATTTATTGGTTATTTTTGGTGGAGAATTTAGTTTGCGGATACTTCATAATTAATTTTATTTGCTGTTATTTTGTTTTTTGTTCCAGTGTAAAATCTTTATCTAAATTTAAAGTGTATCGATCTTTGAGGATATTGTATCATCATGCCATCATTGCCATTATATTACTTGAAAATGGTCTAAAAACAACAATATTAACATTTATCGCAATAATTTCTGGAACGATTTATCATCCAGCAAAATTTGTCGTGACGGGTCTTGGCAGGGTGCGATTTGGAGGCGTGTGTGCTCATTTCCGATGAGTTTAAATTGCTTTTATTTACCCTTTAAAGTGGAGTTTTGTGCCAAAACTTCACACAGATCAACATAAACACTTTGCAGTGTTATAAATGTATTTTATCCTGTTGGCTGCTGTTTTAGAGATTCTCTTGAATGGTTCTCCACTGGGAGATTGGGTTGGGATTGAGCTAGAAAAGGTTTGGCTTCTCTGCTTAAGAAAAAGAGCAATCAAAATTAATTTCATTACTTTACAACTAGATGTGACAAAAACCAACTTTATTGACTTTTTAGAATGTGTTGTACTGTTATGCCATTGTATTACTTGAAAATGGTGTCAAACAACAACATTATCGTTTATAGCCATAACATCTGGGAAAATATGAATTTTTCTTGAAAACGTTTTATTTTTAAACGTTTTTCAAGTGGCTGTAACTTTCAGCTTTTCCTGGCTGTGAAGGCAAACATCAGGATCTGAGCCAAAGTTAACATTCAGGCTGGAAAACCTCATGGTTTCATCTTCCTGAAACCAGACTTCCTGTCTAATATTTAACTCTTGTCTGGACATCTTTCTGGATTCTTATCAGCCGGGTTTTCACAGCATAATAAATCTTTTATGTCTGAGCCGCTCATAAACCAGCCGCGTCTCAGGGAGGCTGCTGGTTTTTGGTTACACCGGACAATGGCTGTTGTGAAGAGACAGAAAACTGGAGCTGGTCAACCAGTGATCACCATGGCAACATGGACTTAAAGAGATAAATCTGGAATCCTCCATCTTGTTTTCCAAAGGGTCTGAAAGTTTAGTTCCTGCCTCAAGATCCCAGGTGATCCAGTTCATTCATCCATCTGTTCGATAGTTCGAAGTTCATCCGTCCATCCATCCATGGAAAATGGACTGAACTTATATAGCGCTTTATCCAATCATTTTTGACCACTCAAAGCGCTTTACACTAGAGTCACATTCACCCACCCCACATTCGCACTCACATTTATACACCGATACGCAGCTCGGTAGGAATTTGGAGTTAAGTGCCTTGCCCAGGGGCACATCGACACATGGCAGGAGGAAGCTGGAATCAAACCTGCAACCTTCTGACCAAGACGACTACTCTACCCACAGAGCCACAGTCATCCATCCATCCAATGAGTGAAAATGTACATTTATAAAATTTTTAAGAAATTCTAGGGAGTTTTTCTCTCCTTTTGCTGCAGATCTTCCTGTTGGTTAAATATCGTCTTTCTGAGTTTTTCTTCTTCTTCTCAGGATTATTGGTCATTTTTGCAGAGTCCTGTTTTCTTTAACCGCAGCGACTCTGCGATGTCGCCGCTGGCACCTCTTCTCTGAAATCTTTAATCTGTGTTGATCAACCTTTAAGACGCTCTGCTGTCGCTCTGAGCCTCAGAAAATCTCCTCAGAGTTCAGAAACGCTCAGATAGAAATGAGGCTGAAAGTTGTGACATTTTGTTTACCAGAGAAAATCAAATGAAAACAAATTCAGGCAGAACAGGACTCTAAAACCAGTTTAATCGGTTATTGATTTACAATTAAAACCTGATTAAAAACATAAACTGTCATTTTATTAGATTCAGGGACGAATAAGCACGATATGGCTGAAAAACATACCACATCGTAATCGTTTCATATCAGTCGATATCAATAACGATTGATTAGTTTTTTGTTTTAAATATCTGAAATACTTTCAAACTGTTGTTTTATTTACTTTTTTAATCAGTAATAAAGCACTGTGGCGAAACCTTAAACTGCTGCTGTGTCAGTTACTCAGCAGGTCGTTGCTAGGTAACCAAGGTTGGGCGGAACTTTGAAACTCCTTCCAGCAGTTTGTTGCTAGGTAACCAAAGAGTGAGTGAGTTAGTTGATTGATTTTACCAACCTAGCCTACACCTCCCACAATGCTGTGAATTCACCGAATAATCTGTATATTGAACATTTTATTAAATGTTTTATTTATTGATAATGATCTTGCGTCTATCACAATATAATATTACTGATTTATTTTCCAGTCCTATTACGGCTCTTCACCAGGACAGTAGGTCTTGGGGCAGCACAGGCATTTGAGGTCTGGGGAAATGTTTAGGTTTTTTTAATCATGAATAATTTCTCTATCACTTGTTTGAATGTCCATTGATTGGGGAGCGAATGATTCTCCATTGTTAATTTAAACGTTCATTTTCTTATCTTGGTCCATCCACAAAAAAAAAAAAAAAAGACCAAATATGAAAAATATCAAAATATTTATTCAATTTTATTTTTTGTTTTTGGCAGAATGAGCTGCTGTTGATAAGCAATATTTACTGATGCTATTTAAGACTGTGCTGTGTCGCTTTCACTGTCATGTGACCAAACAAATACCACCTTACCAACCCGCTTCCCTCCTAAAATACAACCACAAGATGAAAATAAACTTTGTTATTGGCTGCTCCAACAGCAGGAAGTGGCCTAAAGAGCAAGGAATACTGCGTAAATACAACCAAAACAAACGCGCTAGTTTAGCGCTAGCAGGAGAAATGGCTCATCGTCAAAACAGAAATTCTACAACCTCTGAAATTTGATGCTACCTCATTTTTGTTTACATTTTGTGAAATAGAAAGTTCTGCTGCAGTGCTTTCTTCAGAGGTTTTTGTGTTGTTTCCTTCAGTAGTTCTTGATGCAGCGCCCCCACAGGCGAGGAGGGGAACAGGTTTTTCAAAGTATTTGGTTTGTTTGACTCAGTGCAGCAGCTGAAAATGCACCTCTGTTGCAGTTTTTGTCCCCAATCAAAGCGTGTTTACCTGGCCGTCAGGTGTGAAAACACAGCTTGATTTATTTTCTTCCTGTTTTCAGACACTGTTTATTTTCACCTGCCGCCTCTCAGTGTAGACATGAAGTGCGTCTATGGAGTGTCCTGTTATCGCCAAATAGAAGCAAAGGTTAGTGAAACTCATTTAAATAGAATACTCTGGAGGATTTTACAGGGTGAACTTTGACCTCATTGATCTAAATGTTGCATGTTGATGGAAACTGTTGAGTTACCTGTTTGTTTTCTTCTTCATGTCGTTCTTCATCGATGTGGATGTGATTTCAGGCCCTGAAGGTCCGACAGGCGGACGTTACCAGAGAGACGGTCCAGAAGAGCGTCTGTGTCCTCAGTCGAGTGGTGAGTCGCCGTCGGCTTCAGGTTCAGCTCAGAAACCGTGACTTCACATCGAGTCAGACTGAAACTTAAATCAATCTTTCCAGCAAGCCTGATCTGGGGGAGTGGAAAGAGGAAAACAGGGGTCAGAGGTCATACCAGGGTTGGAAAAACAGAAAAAGATAAATTAATAATATTAACAGGATTTATTTTTCAGTGTTTAAAATAATAAATGAGTGAAAAACTGCATTTCTAAAACAACAAGTTGGACCGACCAGGAAGAGTTTTACTTTAAAGATCCATCCATCCATCCATCCATCCATCCATCCATCCATCCATCCATCCATCCATGCATCCATCCATTTATTTATTTATTTATTTAAACATCCAACCTCTGGTTATTCACAGTTTAGCGACGGTTCACTGGCAGCTGCTGCTACCAGCTGATCAGTAGATCTCATTAGTTAGCAGGAACCTCAGTGATTCATGGATCTTTGTCCTGGTTGGGGGAAAATCCTCCTCCATGTTTGGGTCATGATGTTTCTGAATCACTGCTGACTCTCTCTCTCCAGCCTCTCTACGGTTTGCTCCAAGCTAAGCTTCAGCTCATCACACACGCCTACTTCGAGGAGAAAGATTTCTCCCAGATCTCCATCCTGAAGGTGAATCTAAGCCACTATATGAGATTCACTTCCTGTTTCCTGTTGTAACCACCCCTGGCTTCCTGTTCAGGAGCTGTATGAGCACATGAACGGCTCCCTGAGGGGCTCCGCTCTGGAGGGGTCGCAGGTTTATCTCGGTATGCAGACTCCGACCTCCAGAAACGCTTCAGATTGTCCTGGAAAACTCCTCATTCATTAGTTTTTTTTCCTCAGGTTTATCACCAAGAGATCTCATCCTGCACTTTCAGCACAAGGTTGTAACAAAAACATTCACAAGACGCTAAAATCTCAACTTTTTCTAACATTTTTAACCGTTTTGCAGGTTCTCATCCTCTTCAAGCTCATTCTGTTAGAGAAGAAGGTGAGAAAAGTAAAATCTCATTCTGTAGTTTTGGTTTTCCACATGTGATCCAGCAGAACTGTGTGTCTGTCTGTCTGCAGGTCCTGTTCTATGTTTCTCCTGTAAACAGGCTGGTTGGAGCGCTGATGACGGTTCTGTCACTTTTTCCTGGTCAGTAACTCAGAGAACATCCGAGCCATTTTCAGTCCAAGATAAATAAAACTTGTTTAGAGTCACTAATGTTAAAAAAACACAACCTATACATATTCATGAATATCTACTGAAGGAAATTTGTTCTGATTTTTATAGAGCCATAATTTTATTCCTTTTTATAGGACATAAAACAGAGGAAAACACAACTTTTTCCAAAAGGGGATGAATATGTTTTATGGAACCTGAAAAAACAGAAATTGTACATTTTCATAAAAATCAACTTTAAGAAATAGCATCTGTCATCAAAGCTCTGACATCTGTCGCAGAAGCTGTGGCATTTGTTCCCACCGAAGCCGGAAGCTGCTGGTACTAAGCTGCAGCAGTTCCTGCCTCGATGTGAGCTCACCGTCTCTCCATCGATGTTTCTGCAGGTATGATCGAACACGGCCTGGTGGATTCGTCGCACTACAAACCAAAGAGCAGCGTGTCGGACGACCCGAGTCTGGTGGAGAGCGGCTTGGGAGCCGAGGAGTTCGTCTCCGTGTCCGTCACGGACATCGCCCACGCCAACATGGAGGCCACCCAGCCAGCTGCAGAGTCCCTGCCGTCGGGGAACAGCACGCAGGGCGACAGCAACCACCTCAAACCGCCGTCACGCACCTCTCCAGAGTCCTCCGAGAGCGACTGGGAGACGCTGGACCCCAGCGTGTTGGAGGAACCCAAAGAACCTGCAGCTGACAGCAGCGGGTCGGATATGCCAGACGCCTTCGACTCCAAACCAGGAACTCCGATCACGGTGCAGCCGCTGGGGGTCAGCGGTCAGGCAGGGGTCATCCAGGGTCTGGTGTCGGGTCTGGAGGAGGATCAGTACGGCCTGCCGCTCCCCATCTTCACCAAGGTAAATAAAACCAGCTGTTTTGGTTCTAGAGGGACATGTTGTGGTTCCTCAACTGGATCGATGTATGACCAAAATGGAAATGCAAAAACGAAATGGGAAGTTTTAATAATAGGTCTCCTTTAAGATGTTCGCTGTGTTACTTGCTTTGTGGTTTATTGTATGTGTTGCTTGTGTCGTTGCCAGGGTTACCTGTGCCTGCCTTATATGGCCCTGCAGCAGCATCACCTCTTGTCGGACGTCACAGTTCGAGGCTTCGTCGCCGGGGCAACCAACATCCTTTTCCGCCAGCAGAGGCACCTCAGTGACGCCATCGTTGAAGTGAATCCTGTTCATTTCGCCGCCTCTGTTTAATCAGGAAAGCGGGCGCATTAATCTGAACGCCTTTGCTTCTGCAGGTGGAGGAAGCTCGGATCCAGATCCAGGACCCAGAACTCCGAAAGATCCTGAGCCTGACGACGGCTGACCTGCGCTTCGTAGATTACCTGGTGAAACACGTGACGGAGAACAGAGACGACGTGTTCCTGGACGGGACGGGCTGGGAGGGAGGAGACGAGTGGATCAGGGCCCAGTTCACCCTCTACCTGCACTCCTTACTCTCCTCTGCGCTACAGCAAGGTGGGAAATCTGGAGAACATCCTGTGATGTCATGGTTTCATCCCAGCCTGACTCCTTCTCCTCTTCCTGTCAGATAATGAGAGGCTGCTGGCCGATTATGGGGTGCCGTTCATTGGAGCGTGGAAGAACACCCACAACTTCCGGGTTTGGTTCAGTAACAAACATCCCGGCATGACAGCCATCACTCCAGGGTAGGTGGACCAACCCAGTGACCTCACATTGCACCGCAGGAAGAGAAATAAAGATGTTTTAACTAGTTGCAAATATGTTTTATAAATTATGGAGGTGCAAAATGGAGGGAACTGCTAACTAAGATGTTATTTGTGCTAACCCTGTTCTGCTAACACTAGTTCTGCTAATGCTAAAGTGCTGATAATATACGTAGTTTCTGCTAAAGCACTAGCAATAAGTGATAGTTCTTCTAATATTTAACAATAAACAACAACTATAGACGTAGTTTCTGCTAGCTCTAAAGCTCTAATGATGAGCATTAGATCTGCTAACTTTAAAATGTTAACAATAGACATTAATTCTAGCAATAAACATGAGTTTTGTTAACCCTAAAGTGCTAACAATAAACTTTCATTTTGCTATAGCACTAACGATAAACAGTGCATCTAACGCTAAAGTTAGCAGAATGAATATTTAGCAGAAGCTAATACTAAAGGAAGTGCTGTGTAAACAATCATTTCAAAATAAGAGCATGAATATAAACATCTAACTATTTGAATTACCAATTATTGAAACTTCAGCACAGATGCTGAATTTTATTAAGTGTAAAACTCTGCCTTTATCAAAATGAAAAACAAAAAAATCCAGTGGAAGCTAAGTGCGCTAACATCAGTGTTAGCAAAAGCACTAACAGTTAGATATGCTATTAGCCAATTAGCAGTAGTGTGTCGACTACTGGAGACATTAAAAGAAACTGAACTGGAATCCTGGAAAACAAGAAAAAATTTTAGGTATTTTTATTATAAATTATTAAGAAAAAATATCGATTTGCTGTTATTTTTAATACTAGTTTGATTAAAAATGTAAATTTTTAGACTATTTATAATACTGCTTCTTGCATTAAAACCATTTTTATTAGATTAGATTAATCCCTCAGGAACGGTTGTCTGGTAAATTCAGTTCACCTGCAGTAGCAGCAACACAAAAACAAGAAACAGCTTTTTAGGAACTCTAGGATACGGACACCCAACTGTAGTACTCATACTAGATAAATATAGTATTTTAAAAGTTATTCTCAATGTGTTGTGGTAAGGATGAAGTTAATTGTATGTCGTTGTGTTGCAGCCACCCGTTCCAGGGCCAGTACAGCGTAGCAGACGTGAAACTGCGGCTCTCACAGTGAGTTTAATTTTATTCTCCTGCTTTCAGGGTCTAATCTGACAAATCTTTAAATTAGACATTTACAAACCCAGCTGTAGATCTCTCTCTAATCTTCAAAGATGAACTCAAGACAAGGAATCTGCTGCCCTCTAGTGGCATATTTTAATGCATTTTCAAAATGGCATAATTAAGGCTTAAGTGGTTAAACTTTTATTTGACTAATCAATTAATCGTCAGAATAATTGATAGAATAATCCAGTACTAAAATAATCGTTGGTTACAACAATTATTAAAAGTAAAAATGTGTAAAGCATTTCAGCAGATGAAAGCAAAACAAAAACAAAAGTCTCCAGTCTCTCCCACCTCCCAGCTCGATTTTCCTTCAATCATTACTGCCTGTTTGGAAATGGAGATCCAACTCTGTGAGGTTCTTTTAGTTTTATGTGACCATATAAGGAATTAAAAACGGAATAAATCAGAAACTGTGAGCCTGAAGCTGTAAACGCTTGACGAATACTGTAAGCAGCCTAGAGTCTGTGCAGGTCGGGGGCCAAGTCGTTAATAATGAGCGAGCTTCATTTTGAAAAACCGAGCCGGAGCCTCCGACTCGGTTTCATTCCAGGACGCTTTGCACGCCGCAGGTAGAGTTACCCTCCAAACGAGGAGGAGCAAGCTCCGCGGCTCTCGCCTTACCTGCAGGTGTTCGGTGTCACAGCGGCTGTGAAATCTCTCGTAAAGCTTCAGTAAACAAACAAGCTGCAGAGGGCCGGCTCAGCTCACAGCGTCCAGTTAAAGCATCAAGTGAAATAAAACCATGTTCTGGTGCATATAGTCAGAAATACACTGCAAAAACACAAAATCTTACCAAGTGTTTCTGTCTAGTTCTTAGTGCAAATATCTTAGTTCACTTGAAGTAATAAAAAATTCCTCAAATATAGGAGCTTAATTCCTTAATTCAATGTTAAGGAATTATTAAGTCAATTATTCCTTAATACTGAAGAAAAATTACTGATTTCACTTACAGATTATTTCACCTATAACATGAAAAAAATTATATAAGTGGAACTTGTAGTGTAATTTATTATTTTTTTTATAATATTAAGAAATTATTTACTTAAAACAAGCTTCCATATTGCCGAAAAGTTACTTGTAAATTTATTTTCTTATTTTAAGTGTCCTAAGATATTTTCACTAGAAACTATATAAAAATACTTGGTAAGATTTTTGTGTTTTTGCAGTGTAGTGTGTTTCATTTGAGTTTAATGTGATAGACCAAAGTAGTGGGATCATTAGATTTTATTGTCTGAAAATAAATGGTAACATTTTCGGTTTTTCTAGTTGTAAAAAAAACACATGTCCACTTCGTTCTGCTTTGTGTTGGTCGATCCCAAATCCCAATAAAGTAGACCGAAGTTTGTTTTTGCATGATTTAATTTATGGGAAAACACTCATTTAAAGTGTGAATACATTTGCAAGACACTGTGTGGTTGAAAATAATCAAAACAATTGCACTGAAACAAAAAAGGGCTCGAGAACACATCCTTGAGGGACACCACGTGGTTTATATGCAGTATGCTAATACTCCATGATGTAAAGTGATTACTTTTGTTCTTTTTCTATTTAAATATCTAATTTTCTAGTAGAGAATAGTTTATTCTCTGCTTCCATCAAACATATTAATTTCCAGTTCCTGCTTTTGAATATTTTCCACACTCGTCCTTTTTCCCTGCCTCAGTAAACAGAGTTATTCTCCTGAAACCTGAACCTGGATGACAGACGAAGGGGGGAAACGGGGCCGGGGTGATGAATCCCACTGTCAGGAAAGTAAAAGCGCTCGTCGCTGGATCTAAAAAATAAAAATAAAAAGAGGAGGCAGAAAGTGGGAAGCTACGGTTGACTTGATGTTGTGGAAGCCCTCGGGGCAAAAACAAGGCTTGTTCTTGGACAAAGAGCAGCTGGTGGCAGAGACGTTTTAGGAGGCGAGTCACGTGACCAGCCCAAGTGCTGCCGGCCAATCACATCTTTCTTTATTGCAGCACATAAGATGTTTATCTGGGTCAGCCCAGGAGACAGAAAGTGGACACAGAAGCAACCCATTTTTCTCCAGAAACACACTTAGGGGTTAAAGGTCGGAATTATGACATCATCCTGCAGTAATGGAGTTGAGGTGCCGCTTTTAACCGAAGGTTTGGCTGAGATCAGCTCACATTTTCAAAAATGAATCTGTTTCATTGGTTTAATTCAAAACGTCAAACTGATGAGATATTATTTCACTCAGAGTGAAAGATTAAGCAGAAAATGTCAATGGTGCTTTTTCAGAGTTCAGGCATATTAATGGAAAGTTGAGTGGAAGGAAGAAGTGTGCTTCTGTTCATTTTAATTTGCTTACTGTTAATAAAAGCACAAAATTCCATTACTCATAACAATTGTAATAATCAACAAGATAAAAAAACCCCTCTTTTTTAAAAATAAGCATTTTATTGGAAGGTTTAGTGGAAGAAAAAAGTGTGTTTGATCCAATTGTTAGTTTTAATGTTGGCTTACATCTAATACAAGCACAAAATCTAGTTTGTCAGAAAAATTTTATATTTTAGAATACCAATTAATTATATTAATGGAAAGCTTAGTGGATGGAATGTGTGTGTTTGAAACATTGCTTCTATTTATTTTAATTATGGCTCACAGCTAAAGACAGCAGAAGATTCTGATTTTCAGAAACTGAATATTCCACAAGACCTTTATTTTATTTATTTATTTTTTATTTGTTAGTGGAAATTATTCCTTAATACTGAAGAAAAATTACTGATTTCACTTACAGATTATTTCACCTATAACATGAAAAAAATTATATAAGTGGAACTTGTAGTTTAATTTGTTATTATTTTTTTTATAATATTAAGAAATTATTTACTTAAAACAAGCTTCCATATTGCCGAAAAGTTACTTGTAAATTTATTTTCTTATTTTAAGTGTCCTAAGATATTTTCACTAGAAACTATATAAAAATACTTGGTAAGATTTTTGTGTTTTTGCAGTGTAGTGTGTTTCATTTGAGTTTAATGTGATAGACATTAAACTCAAAAGTGGAAGGAAGAAGTATGCACTGTTCCAAATCTTCAACAGAATGAAGCAATATTCAGTAGCTGCATTTCTGTCTAGTTCGCTTGGGAAACATGAAAACGTCTAAACATCTCGTCATCCTAAAGAAGACAAAGTATTTTGTTTTCTAATTTCTGATTCTGTTTTTTCTTTCTGCAGTTCGGTGCAGAACAGCGAGCGAGGGAAAAAAATCGGAAACGCCATGATCACGACCAGCCGCAGCGTCGTCCAAACCGGGAAGGCAGTGGGTAGGAAAACCTCCAACCGTCTCACAAGAAGCTCCAGTGAAAGAAACGCGTTTCTGATGGAAAGTCTGATTGTTTCATAGGTCAGTCGGTGGGCGGAGCCTTAACGAGCGCCAAGTCTGCCATGTCGTCCTGGTTCTCCACGCTGGCTCAGCCTCAACCTTTGACCCCATCCTCAGGTCCAGAACCGGCCTCCGAGGTGAAGCCATGACAGTTGGCATCCAAACGTCCCGCAGCGACTCTTTCCGTCTCTTTCCGGACTATGGCTGCTGTAGATAGAAAAAAACGAGTAAATCTCCATCGAATTTTTCAGAAATTTCGAGATTAATCTCAGAAATGTTCAAGAAAGAGAAGTGAGTTCCAAAGGTCAAAAATTTACTAGAAATAAATGTGAAATCTTTAGATTGATATCAGAAATATCTGGAAAAAAGTTTAAACTTTTTTTTCTTTTTTTTTTTTTAAGAAAACTTACACTTTGATATAAATTCCCAAAAAAAAAAACAAGAACATTTCTGAGCTCCAAAAGTAAAATAAATTGCTGGGGAACATTTTTTTTTTTTTTTTTTTTTTTTTTTACAAATTTTGGGATTAGCCTCAGAATATTTCTGGAAAGAACTTGAACATTTCTTTGTTTAAAAAGTCAAAAATCTTTTAGAAAAAAAATTCACAACTTTCAGAAATTTCCTAGAAAATTTTTTAAGATTTCTGGGATTGAAAGAAAAATATTCCTAGAAAAATTAATTTCAGAAATTTCCTAGAAAAAACTTGGAAGTTTGAGTTTAAAAAGTGGAAAATCTTGAGAAAAAATATGAAATTTTGATACTAATCCCAGAAATGTTAAAAAAAAAAAAAAGTAAATTTCTTAGCTCCAAAAGTAAAAAAGATACTAGAAAAAACCTGGAAATTTCTTTTAAAAATTCTCAGAAATTTTCTTGGAAAAACTATGAAAACATTTTTTTAGATTAATCACAAAGGTTTCTAGAAAATTTCAAAAGTAAAAAATTTTAAACTTTTGGATCTCAGGAATTTTTTTTTTTTAATTCTGAGATTAATCAAGAGGTTTTCAGATATTTTGGGGTGAAAATTCACTCCTATTTTCTATCTGCACTGGCCCTGGTGCACCGTCTGACTGAAGCCTTTGCATCAGTGGACGGATTACGGATGTGAGCAGACAAACAATCACTTTTCTCAAATTCAAATGGGAATCTGAACCATAAACCCAGATTCTGGGCTTTCGCCTGCAGCGTTAGATGGATGCGCCTGCAGGCGGTAAATTTACTCTGCAGCCCAAAGTCACTGTGAGGTGGAACCTGCCACTGCTTTCATAAAAACCTGATCATTTTAGAGGCTTTTTGAAGTTCAACAGTCTCAATGCTGCAGTTCGTGTTGCTGTGTTCACTCTTCGTACTTTACAGTTTGTCAACATTTTGCTGGAGAAGTTATTTAAAACGCCTTGGTCTGGGGATTTTACTGAATAGCTTAACTCTGTGAAAAATTGGAAAAATACAATTTTAAATTGATTTTTGTTTCATCAATGACTTTGTTGTGACACTGTGGTTGTCTTAATTATGTGAAATGTAATCAATTTTTAGAAATTGAAGTGAAACAAAAGCTTGTGTTTACAATAAATTTATTATTTTTACTAAATTGGAAGCAAAAGGAGGAAAGTTAGTAAATTTGAAAAATAAAATACATATTTGAACACTAAGATCAGGATTTTTTTTTTGTTCTTTTGTATAAAATAATTAAGGAAGGGATTAAAGAAGTAATTTTCAGCTGACATGGTGCGTTTAGATTTACACATAAATGCACATATTTACAAAAGAATTACCTCAGTTTACTCAGAAAGCAGTTCTAGTCAAAATTTAACCAATAAATTCAGTGATGATGTTTCTACAATCATTAGGTCATAGATTTTGTTAGCATTAGATGCTAGCTAAAATGCTAAATGTTTTAGTAGTTTATATTTTTTAATGTAATATTCTCAATATAAATTTCTAAAAAGGGTCTTATTTGTTCAAAATTTATTTTAGCTAACTTGCAGATGCTAAGTAAATTGCTACCAAATTTCAGCTCTTTATTTCTTTAAACTTTGAATCAATTCTGAAAAAAATTGCGCATTAAATACATTTATAAGTGTATTTGTTTCATTCATAAAAATATTAGCTACACATTTGTAGCTAGGTAGCAAAAACTGACATCAAAGCTAAAACTTTTGGTAGGATAAGCAGCTTTATAGATTCAAACTGAACAAACATTTGATTCAAAAGAAAAATTATCTCAAAGTATAAAAACTATGCAAAAATGTAAAAGTTAATACATTTAGCAATTTAAGCTAATTCAGTTAGCACTAGTCTGCCAGCTAAAATGCTTAATGTCTTAGCTACCTTAAACAATTTGAAACATGTGGTAAGTAACTTTCAAACTTTCCACATAATTAGAGCCTAAAACTTTAATTACAGTCAGCATAACTCAGGAACTGGTCCGACAGCCAGAGGATGTTTTATTTGATTTTATTATATAACACAAAGTCTGTGTTGATGACGATTTGTTTGGCTTTTGGTAGACTTTCTACGCACTACACTGTTATTAGCACTACTAATAAGGAAGTGGTTAAGAATGGCTACTATTTATATTTTAGGGAAGCCTTATGATTAATTTGCTAATTATTATTTTACAGGTTTTTATGTTTTCTGTTTTTTTTTACCTGCAATTCCTTTATGTATGTTTTTTCCAGAATCTTATATTTAAAGTTGCATTTATATATTTTTGAAACAAAAATATTTAGCAGTTTACAACGTTTAACCAGTCAGCAGGTCAATAATTTAAACAATATTACCACTCACAATTAAACCAAAAACATAGTTTAAAACCATGTTAAAATTAAACCTCAGCATATTTTGAGTGTTTTTTGGTATCACAAGTGGATTAAAGGGATTAATTTATAAATGTTGCTGCGTTAATGAGTTAAATAGACTTTTATTTAAAGTGAACATTGATGCTGAAACAACCGCAGTGCTGCTACAGAAATCACTGAGAACAAAAATGATTTGCATTTGGTGTAAAAACATCCTCTGATTATGAAGGAAGATTGTGTTTGAAGGCTAACATTTCCCAGACCTTTTTCTACTTTTAAATGAATATATATTTGGAGAACTATATTTACTAAGACCTAAAATAGCCTGAAGACTTATTTATTGATGTGTAGCGTGTTATATCAAAAAGAACTATATCCATGTTGTGTCATTATAACACTGGAACAAGTGGACCACTGTGTTTATTTGCACAAAGCAGCCATTACTCTGTCTGTGGATCTTTACCTTGTAACTGTACGTTTTGAGGTGCGTTCAGGATCGTTTCCCTCCATGCTGCAAACTGTCGTTGTCCAGTGAGCATGATCGACCAGTACGATGTTTTTCCACATAGTTGTTTGATTTTAAGTGTTTTTGATTATTTGTGCTGTTTTTATTTTTTAATCTGATATCTTTTCATTTTATATTTAAACCGAATGAATGTATTGTAAGCTGAATTATTTTTCTGGAAGAAAAGGATGTGATGAACCATGTTGCTGTATTAAAAATAAATAAAAGTTGCATTTTTATTTTCCTGGCCTTTTGGTCTTAAAATATTAGTCAATAACACAGTTGATATAGTTAACTAAAGCCAACAAAATAATGAAAACTAAAATCAAAAAAACATTAAAACTGTAATTAATGGGGAAAAACTATAATTAGAACCGTAAGGTGAGTTTATAAAACTAAAACATTTAGATATAATATCCTTTGTTTTTGTGTTTATAAATCTATTTTCTTTCTTTTGAACTGAACTCGTTTTGTTTTCACACACAAGCGGTTTACGTCAGCTATCAGCAAATTACAGCCAATCCTCCTGGCAGCTACGTTAAAATAGATGGAAAAGTTTCAAAACAAATTTTTTAAATAATTTTTGAAAATGAATCCATTTGTAGATTCATTTTTTAATCTACAAATAAATTAAAATTTGAAATTTGTGCATTTTTATCACTATAATTTATGAAAATACCTTATATGTAAGGTATGAAATGGTTAAAAGTGTTGAAAATTGAAGTAAGAACAAACCAAACACCAGAGGCCATTTGCAGAACGTTTTTGGTATATTTTTTAATAAATTAACGTTCATCCAAAATACAGTGCCAAAGGAAAAATGATGCAGCCAAACATGCTAGTAAGGTTTGTCATGAAGCACCTGTGCTCATGTTTAAAGATGTTTTAGAAGGAAGACCCCCCACCCACCATGTTATCGAGCTCTCTCCTCTCTCAGCCAATCAGCAGCAAGATTTCTCAGTACTCATCCAGAAAAAATGTAATCTGATAAGATGAAGATCTACAGACAATCACACTACAGTAATGTCAGGTATTAAATAATAAAAAAAGAAAGACACTAATACAAAATAGACCTGGTTACGCCCACCCATCGCTTCCACACTAAACAGCCGTTTTAAACATATGAAAAATATAGTTTTTATATATTTATATAATTCAGCAGCTTAGAAATAAAAAAAAATGCATGAGCCCAGAACCTGTTTGTTACTGCGAGTGGAGTTTTGTTTGTTGCAGAGAAAGAAACAGAGACAGACTGAGGTGTGAACTGCTGGTTGTGTGGAAGACCTGTGTGCAGCAGACGTGACGTAATGAGGGGCGGGGTCAGTTTGGTGGAGGGGGCGGAGCCTCAAGCGGCGGAGGCGGGGCTACGAGTGGCTGGACCTGCAGCCACCCCGTCTTTAACTTCTTCCACCTGCCGCTCGGTTTTTCCGCTCGGTCCTCCGGAAAAGACCCGCTCCGTCTGCGAGGCCTATTAAAGAAATACATGATCCCATTTTTTTTTTAAAGGAATACTCCGCTAAAAATCAAAGTTCAAACATTGTGGGACGCTTCCCAAAAAGTGAGTTTTCTAGATACATTTTCTTTACTAATTTTTGTTATTCTGTGCGGTTTCCGGCCAAAAAATAAAAAAGAGGATGATTTATGACTATCCGTGAGTTTAAGGAAATGCATGATCCCATTTGCGATTTTAATATTGGTCTACTGTAGGGAAATGTGGTTTTATGACTCCAGTAACTACTACCAATGGCAATTAGCTTTTTAGCTAATTCAGGCATATTTACATATATGCTGGTTGCTTAGTCAATATGGTTTAATCAGGGTTTATTCATGACAAAAACCAAAATAAGTGAAAAATTAATCTACGAATAATTGAAATTTCGAGATTTGAGCACGTTTATGAATTAATAAAAAAAACCCTCATATAAACTAATATGCAATGTTTTAAGACCGTGGGTATGAAATGGTTGAAAACGGAAGTTTAAATGGACGAAATGGCGACGGATGACGAACAGCTTCACATGTTTAGTTGTTCCTTCACCGACGTTTTTCAGGAGCCAAATAGAGCCGTTTAGTTTCGACTTCAGTTCAGTTCGCCTCTATATAGAAAGCTGACGG